TTATATAATTTACACATATATAAATATGTAATTTTATCAATTATAACAATTTAAAAGTACTAAAAATATTAAAAAAAAACTTTTAAGATATTAACACAATTTTATTGTGTTTCACTTGTATCCCCCCCTAAAACTGTAAAAACTATGAAAATACGGGGGTATGAACTCACTTGGTAGGTGGTGATTCGGGCAGAGTTTCGTTTCTTAGAAGGGAGTTTTCTTGACGTAACTGAGAGTTTTTGATGAAAAGCCGGCTTCAGTCGGGCAGAGTTTCAGCTTAAAATTGAGGACTTCGGGAGTTTGGGGCTTGCTTCAGGTGGTAAGGAGGTACCCGGGGCTTCAGAGGGTTTAGAAGAGCTTAAAAGAGTGTTTAAGTGGAGAGAGGATTTGGATTTTCTAAACAAAACCCGGAGGTCTCGCATCCTATTTATAGGAGAGTTCTGGCCCTCAGTACGCTGGGTGTAATATTCGTGTATGCTGGGTGTACTACTAAAAACCTTAGTACGCTGGGCGTACGTCTTGTATGCGGGGCGTACTAGTTCGAGCCTTATCTGATCTTCGGACGTGGTGAAGCTACGAGGCACGCGTCGAGGCTAGTCCCATTACGCTGGGCGTAATCTTTTCGTACGCTAGGCGTAGTAGCCACCTGGCTTCGGACGCGTCGATTGAGCGAGATACGTGTCATTTGCGAAGAAAGAGGCTACGTGGACAATCCGAGACCTTGCTTCCGAGTACGCTGAGCGTACTCATGTACGCGGGGCGTACTTCCTTTTTCCAAACTTCAAAAATTCATATCTTTTGCATACGAACTCTGTTTTTGATGTTCTTTATATCCATGCGTAGGTGAGACCATGATCTACAACTTTTGTTTAGACTCCATCGGCTAATTTTGACTTTATTTTTAAAGTTATATTTTTAACAGGCCGGGACAGGAAAAGTCCGTTAAAAATTCATAACTTCTTCATCCGACGTCCGTTTTTGTCTGTCTTTTTACCGTTGAATTTCTTTTGATAAGATCTACGATTCTCGTTTATGTTGTTTTGGCAAAAAGTTGCTCGATCTAAATTTCGAGTTTCGGGCTGCGTACTGTTGTGTCGAAACTTAGAAAAATCATAACTTCTTCATACGAAGTCAGATTTAGTCGTTCTTTTTATGGAAACTCTCGGTTTAACGTATACTATAACTTTCATTTAGATATTTAAGGTTAGAAAGCATTTTATTGAAAATTCACTTTTTACGTTAAACAGTGTTTTGCCGGTTTTGTCGCGGATTTTCGATAGGTCATTACTTCTTTGTTATGACTCGGATTTGGGCGTTCTTTATATTTTTGGAATCCTTGACACGATTTCTACCACTATATTCATCCTAAACAAGTTTGTTTATCATTTCATTTTTGAGGGTCGATTATGTAAATGCACATAGTATACAAAAATTTCTCTTTATTATTGATATATACTATTACATAGAGTCGAAATAACGGGTTGTTACACAAACCATACCAATTATAGTTTAAAACGATTGTTTATTAAGACTATTTATATAATCATTCATATAAATACGTAGTTGTTATCTTGACTAGTTTCAAAACGTATGGTTAAAATATCATATTTTTGGGTTGCAACCCACAAAATGGTGAAATAATTATAATGTGACCCATTTTGTTAGAAAAGCTATATTTTGGTAAAGAACTTCAAAAAAACTTGTAGTTTTACAAATCATAATTTTTCTTATGATTTTTATAACATAGATTATGTTTTGTTTTTGTTAGTTTTGCATTTCAAAACTAATATATCACAAATAGTTGTATAAAATCTAGTAATAACCATATCTCATACAAATAATGTTTTATTTTCACATAGTAATAGATCATGAAAATGTTGGTTTTAAAAAGTTAACTTTACTTGTATTCCCCCCTAAAAACATGAAAAACTAAAAAATGTGGGGGTATGAACTCACATTGAGTGGATTTGTGGGTTGTTTGAAGAGATGATGTGAAGATTTCCAAGACCAAAACACTTGAATGTGGTTGATGAACTCTTTGAAGGTGATATTATCCTAAGAGTTTTAACACGTAATAATATGTGTAAATAAGATGAAACTAACATGAAAGTGTATAAAAACACTAGATAATCAAGAAGAACTTACCAAACTCTAAGAACAAACTTGGATAAATTTATCTAGAAGGAGCTTGAACTTATTCTTTGAGAGAATATGGAGTAAACTTTAGAGAAAATGGAAAGGGTGGGGGTTTGTGGGTGTGTTCTGCCGTAGTTAAAAGGGAAGGAGTGATATGATATTTGCCTAGTTAACTGTAGGTTAAAGGCATGGATATTTGTTGGGTAATATTTCTATGAGAAACTGATGTATCCATCAAGTCACAAAGTCAACACTACCTTATCCTTTTCTTTCTCCAGCCGAAAACACATTAGAAAGGGATCAAATTGGTGATTTCGGCCAAGGCATAACCGAAATCACCTTGTACCCCACCGAAATCACATGTGATTTCGGTCCTAGTGATTTTGGTCTTGGTGGGATTTCGGCCTAGATGTGATTTCGGCCTAGGCATGTGATTTCGGCCTAGAGGTGCTTTCGGCCTAGGCATGTGATTTCGACCTCCTTACAACCGAAATCTCAAGTTCTTGGATCCCTAAAACCGAAAACCCCAAAGGCATGACATAAATCATGCTTCATGTCCTAACTATTTGACTTGTTATAACCTGTTGACCTTCCAAGGTTCCTTACGAACATGGTTTTCATAGTATATACATACTTACTTTTACAAATAATGCCCTTTTGGTTTTCAAAGTTTTATTGCAACAAAGTTACGTTGTGAATTTACTTATACACAGTTACAATTTAGACATTGCTTGTTCCAAAATTTTCCGGTTGTCACCAATTATTCCTCATTAGCATTTGATTGCTTCCCTTCTTGCTTTGGTGCTTCGAAACTTTCTTGATTGAAACCCTAGATGCATAAAAGATGGAGAATTCGTCATTAGAGGGTTTCTAGGATGAAGGACACGATATGAAAGAGAAAGAAAGAGAAAGGGAGAGAATGTGCATCTTATTCCCCATTTTTTTCACATTTGGTCCCTTAAGCTTACATCTTTTGGCTAAAACCCACCAAAACTCAATATTTGTGATTTTAACTTAAGTTTTGACATAACAAGTCCTTACTCATCCATTTTATAACTTTGGCAATCCATTCCATTAATTAAGTCAACTAGGTTAAACTCATTTTGCCAACTTGACACTTTTGGACCTTTAACTTTTTAAACTTTACTATTTTCACGTCTAACTATCCAAACATTATACCAACTAATGATATGATTATTCATTGATGGTTTAACTATATAAATCATTCTTTCATTTATTTATTTTATAGATTTAAGAACTTATTCGCAAATTTTTAGGATGTTACATTTCCCGCTTTGCTCCTTACTTCTACATTTCCTTGGACTTTAAAACCACTAATCATAAAATGGAAAAACATAAATCAGAACTCGGGTGTTACACCTTCGCCGCCACTAACACCACCACTACCATTGCCACCACTGTCCTTACCACCGCCACCACTAACGCAACCACCACCACCATCGGCACCACCACTGCTGCCACCACCACCAATACCATCACCATCACAGTTGCCACCATTGCCACCACTACCAACAACATTTCCACCACCACCACCACCACCACCATCACCGTCACTGTCAACAGCTCCGCCACCACCCACCACCACCCATCACCAAGGCCGCCACCACCACCTCCACAAACACTAACCGCCACCACCACCACCAATAGTTAACACCATCACCACCTGTGCCACCACCCACCACCACTACTACCTACTACCATTTACTATTTTATAATTTATATAATATATCTTTATATATAAGTTATAAAAGAAAGTAAAAAAAACAAGGACAATTCTATCATTTTATATTATTAAAATTAAATTTATCAACAACACAAAATATAAAATTAGATTCCAATTCTTGATTTCTCGTGCCAAGTTCTTAACAAAATTTTAATTTTTTATAAATATTGTGCAAGCCAAACAATATCTTAATTATTTGAAATTGAATTAATCGGTGTTATGTTAATTATGCCTATTCTTGTAGTGTGTAACGTTTTCTAGTACGTCACTAGTTTTTAATCAATTTCCGCCATTAAAAAAATTTATTCTTGAAAAATATTAAGTCAGTCAAATCAAACGGTTTAATGAAATTTTATATTCCATTATTCGTCAGCCTTTTTCCAGGAACAGTTTTAAGATTCACATGCATCAAAACTATAAATTATTGCATAAAACCAATGGATATTTAAAACACAAAATAAATAAAAAGATATAAATTCTTCCCATTTTGCCCTTTTGATATTCGTCGACATCTCATGTGGTTGCTGTATTATTCTATTCAAATTTTATAAAACATAAAATAAATATTAATACAGAAAATGTTTACATATATATAAATATGTGTTCTGTGTACGATATTTCTCAACTCTGTGTTCTGTGTGTGTTTGCTGTCCATTTTTTTTATATTCAGTTTCCATCTCTCTCTCTTCTCCCAAATAATAAAGAGAGAGAGAAGTAAAACCTTCGAAACTCCCAACTTTAATCATTAATTTCCCCTTTTTGATTCGAATCCACATCGGTTTTTGCAGTGGGTTTCTTGAGGCAAATCGGAGAAAAAGTTTATGCATCAAATATTTTTGGAAGGTTTCGCGAATTTCAGTTGGATTCTGTCTGCCATTTTCGAGCTCTGTTTGGAAATCTAGAGTTTCCTCTCAATATTGCGAAAAATCCAGTCTTTGCCGACTAGATTCTTGATTTTCCGGCTTTGATTTTCATCCCCGGGAACAGTTGCTAATTGATCCGAGCGTTTTTGGAAATTTCTCCGGCGAATTGGTTGAATTTTAACCGGTGGTAGTATCTGAATCTGAGTTTTACATATAGTAAGACGTTAAATTGGGTAAGATAGAGCATATTGAAGATGATGCGTGTGAGGAACAGGGCACCGGAGATGACTTCCATGGACGGGGGCTCAGTCCCCGGCGACGCCGGAGATGAAAATGAATGGGAGGTCCGGCCAGGAGGAATGCTTGTTCAGAAGCGAGACCCGAATGCTGAAACCAACCGTATTCCTCCACCAACCATTCGAGTTCGGGTCAAATACGGGTCGATTTACCATGAAATCAACATCAATTCTCAAGCCACATTTGGTAAATAACTCGATTAATCTCTTCTGAAACTCGAATTCTTATATAAGTTTGTGGTTTCTAATTTGGGCTTTGTACAGGGGAGTTGAAGAAGATGTTATCAGGGCCAACAGGATTACACCATGAAGATCAGAAGCTCATGTATAAAGATAGAGCGAGGGATTCAAAATCATATCTTGATGCTGTTGGTGTCAAAGATCGATCAAAAATGGTGGTTATGGAAGATCCAATTAGTCAAGAGAAAAGGATTCTGGAGATGAGAAAGAATGCAAAAATGGAAAAAGCTGCTAAATCCATTTCCGATATTAGCTTCGAGGTCGATAGACTTGCTGGACAGGTGTCAGCCATTGATTCGGTTATATCTAAAGGAGGAAAAGTTGCAGAGAAGACTCTGTTGAATGTGATCGAGTTATTAATGAATCAATTGATTAAACTAGATGGAATTTCAGTCGATGGTGATGTAAAATTACAGAGGAAATTGCAGGTAATTGTAATTAGTTACTCATCTTCTTAATTCTTTACTGAAAATTTCGATTTCAGTTTTTCAAGGATTTTCGATTCATGAAATTTTCAGGTGAAAAGGATTCAGGAATATGTTGAAACTCTTGATGCTTTAAAGCTTAAAAACTCCGCTCAAAGCAACAATGGCGATGGAAATCATGTTCAAGAACAGAGATTTTCAGATGGGTATGGTGGCACGCCGCCTCAATCAAGGCGGAGAGTTGGGAAATCTTCATCAACTCCGGTGGTGGATCAACATCAACCACCGTCAACGGAGGCAGCTATGGCAACAACCGAATGGGAGATTTTTGATTCTTTGGCTACCCCAACATCAACCACCACCACTACTACTACTACCATGAATCCCATGTTCAAATGGGATTTGATTTAGAGGAAATAAACAAGAACTCAAGTATGTGTTGTAGTGCGTGAAATGTGTGTGTGTGTGTTTGATATTTCCGAGGTTGATTTTGTCATTTATTCTATCCATTCTTTTCTGTACCTAGATTTGTTGGCATTTGGTATGTTGATGTCGACATCCATTTGATATCAAATAATAGGATTGTTATGTTCATGGTGATCATTAATGAAGATGACAAGATTGTTGGAAATAAGATGTAAAAATTTCAAAACTACACATCCAATAAAAAAAACTATTTATAATGGTTCTATTATATAAAGAGAAATTAATTATCTTTCTATTTTTTGTGCTTAATATCTTCCTACCTATTTTAGATGGTGACAAATGTCATTTAATTTAATTTAAATTTGAATGAGATGTTAAATTTGTACATTTGTCATCATTTTAAATAAATAGAAAGAAAATTAAGAATAAAATGTAGGAGAATATTTAATTTCTCTTATATAAAAGGTAAGCATTTCACGGGTACATATATAATTAGTCATTTAAAATACTGAATGTAAGAATATACATAGAAAACTTCAAACACGTTAGAAAAATAAAACTACGTCCTTTCGGGAGAAAAGTTATTGAAAAAATCGTTTAAAAGACTTGTAACAAAAAAGAGAAATAAGAAGGCATTCCTCAAAGTAACCAAGATTAAATTAAACCAAGTTTCATAGTCTACATGAAGTCTCGAGTTCAAACACCAGTAGGGTTTCTACCGGACTATAACTAAAAACCGAAACTCTACAAACCAACATAGCGATATGAAAATTAGGTTACAAATTAACGAGTTCTTGATTTATTCACTAATTAATCTTGAACATATGAATTCAAAAGTAAGGTTTGAAAGGTCACATCATCTTCAATGGACTCCATGAGTTGCTCGTTGACATGCTCATTTGAATGTTGCTGCAAACGAACCATATACATTAGGGCAATAAACTGTAAAATATTTAGAGAAATTAAATATCCTCCCACTTTTTGTTCTTACAAATCCTCCTACCCAATTAAATAGTGACATGTGTAACATTTAATGCCCATTAAATGAAATTTTAGAATACTAATATGACACATGTCTTGATTTAATTAGGTAGGAGGATTTGTAGGAACAAAAGTAAGAGAATATTTAATTTCTCAAATATTTATAACTGAACAAAAAAAAATATACGTACCTTCTTGTTGACATGATCTTCATTGTGAGTTGAATCAAATGAGACCATATTTGGAAGATTTTGACTATACACATCCTAAAAATAACAAAAACCAACTATCATCAAGATCATATTTCGAAAGTTTTGTTGTCATTACAAAAGATCAAGATTAGTTAGTTACCTGATATGGAGGCTCGTATATAACGGGTAGATTGTTTGAAGTACTCCCATACTCACCATAAGAATCAACATATAATTCTTCAGGAAAGAATGTCTCCCAGAGAGAAGCTATATAGGATGCATCCAATATCAAGTCATCTTCTCCTATCATATTTTGTACATTACTCCCCGAATCAATATTCATCTCCATCTCATTATACGAGTAATCTGACATTTCCATGTTCGAGTTTGAACTATACAACGAGCATGTTTCAACAACTTCACCATGACTAGAATAGTTGCTTTCAAATCCATTAAAGCCTTCATGATTCCAACTCATTTGTAACTCGTTATTAGTGTAAAGACCATCAAATGAGCCCATTTCACTACTTATATACGGGTGTACATATGTTGTTGAACCACCATTATCATACATGAAGCCATCAAGATTTTGTATACACGAAGAATTGCTGACTTCATCAAGACTTATGGGCATTGTTTGTTGCAAAATTGTTGATGCTTGGATGGAATAACCTACAAACATTATGGTCTATGAAAAAACATATAATCTTATGATCGTATATCTTTAAATTTTCTAAAACTAAATGTTATACCTTGATTTGGTAATGCATGTGAATGGGCTACTTGAGAAGAAGTTATAGGATTAAAACTTGAAGCTTCAAGAACAGGAAAAGAGAAGCTTGAAGTGTCTAAAAGTGGAGGATTCATCATTTCATGCATTCCGCTATAAGGTGTGAAATTCTTTTGTTGATTAGGTATCAATGAAGAGTTCCTCCAAGGGTCTTCATTGATCATTGAGCTCTCTAACAAGCTTGGCTTTGATGCGATTTGAACACGATTATTTGCATCCGCTATTTTCTTCAAGTATATTCGGTACTTCTGTAAATGACTCGCTATGTGATCTCTAGTTAATCCATCAACATTCATCAATTCTAGTATTTTCTTTGGAACAACTTCTGTGAAGAACACACGTATTAAAGTTGTTGAAATAATGTCATTCTAGGTAATAAAATACGCAATATATAGTATCATTAATAAACACCATGAGAGAAAGTAAAATATAGAAACAAATCAAGATGTTACCTTCAACTCCAATCTTTTCAATAGCCTCCAAGAACTTCTTATGCAAATCTGGTGTCCAGATAACTTTATTCTTCTTTGTTTTTGAACTATTAATTGCATGATCACGACTCTCCATTGATGACACACTCATGGAACTCTTGTTCATTTCTTGATCCTCACCAGATTGCTTGTTATTTAGGTATGCATATACTGCGACACATTACTTAATTACAACATTGTGCTTAAAGAATTCACCATGAAAAATCCATCTCATTCTTGAAAACTCTCTTATGATATAAATTACTGGTTTTGAGCTCTAATGAGATTAAGGAATAAGAACATGTGTTCATTACTTTACGTAAGCTTGAGTAATTTTGATACACACTGGCTAGATTTCTTGCATATGCATATCAATTATGACGAGATCAAATGTGTTACCTTCAATATGAACATGTTGTATAAATCTGTTACCCTTGATAAATTAAGTGGTGATTCAACTTTCATGAATCTTTTAGCCTTAATCATATACTTATGTTCAAAGGTAACATTGCTCTTCTTTTAATTCCTTAAAATTGAATGAAAACGATTAGTCATTTGATCGGTTTTATCTTTATATGCTGGAGGATTATATTTTTTTTATTAAAAAGTATTAGCCAAAGAAATTAAACACACAGACACTGAGTATTAAATCCTTAATTATTAATTCATTGACTCAATTAGATCGGTTGGATGTTTTGTAAGTTATAAATATCCTTGCAGGCAAACAAAACTAAATCAATGGAACATAATAAAGTTTGCAAAAACTTATATTGCGAAGAGCAATATTCAATTCTTTTAACTCGTTAATTTTAAATATAAAAATAACTGTTCATGGCAAAATACGATGGAAATAAAAGAATATTTGTATTCTATTGAATATTATCATTTATTAAAAAAACTAAGTAGAATGATTAATAATATTAAAAAAAGGTTGCATTTTCATATACCAAATTACATTAACGGAAAAAAGAAAAATAAGAAAAATAGTAAACAACAAATGGCCTACGTCAACCATCACACGAGACATTTGGAGATTCATTTAATCTCATCATCAAAACATTTTTTTTAATATTTTTCATAAATTTGAAACTTCGTAATATTGAATTTATAAGAAAGGTTATGATCAATTTATAAGAAAGAGGTTATATCCAATCTTCTTATATTAATATACAAAAATATAGTTTTTAGGTTTTCAGTGTCATTCTATTATGCATCTATATTTATTGTTTGTCGCATGTGATTTTCTTAGAGCTCCTAGATATAATAATATCTCATAAAATTAGCTAATATTTAATTTCATATTTCAAAATTTCATATTATACTCAAAGATTTTCGGAGAGTATTTATATTATAGTCAATAAACCCGGAAACTATTATTATCAAACATTAAATTTGAAATCATATCTATTTTTTTTAATTTATAACAAATAGTTTGTACATTAAATAGATATAACTAAAGTTTACAAAATAAAAAAAATAATAATCTCAAAATAATCGCATAAGTGAAAAGAATTTACATGTGAAACAAAATATGACATATATATTTTATGGGTAATAAATTTATCCATCGTAAGTCTTTAAATAATATCTTATCTGCAAATATCATTTTGTATTTTATTAATATTTGTCTCTGATTATTTTAATTATTTTTTATTCAATTATTTCATATTTTTATCTATGATTTCCACCGGTTTTAACCTAATATTAAATAATAACATAAGTTGAACCTTACATAATGTTATGATTCATTATTAATTTTGATTCAATGCTAAATCTCATAACATAAGTTATTGAGTTCTAACGAACGTTTTAATTCAATTTAAATTTCGAAAAAATAAAATTGTGTCAAGATATTTCTTTGTTTATAAAGAAAAAACATGAATTTTGTTGCGTTTAGCCTTTTTTTTTCCTATAAAAATAAACTCTTAGGGCATAACCAAATAAGTTTTGTTGGAAAAAAACAAAAACAAAGAAACCACCAAGTGACATCAGGCCCAGCCCTTGGGGAGTTCACTGTTAGGCCAGCTAAAGGGATACCATACTCATATAGATTTTCTAGTGCTTTGTTGAAATTAAGTTGATTGGTTGACTTATTAATCGATATTTTATTTATTTATTTATTTTATGAAGTTCATTAGTTTAGTTTGAATTTGGTTTGTAAATTGTAAGTCTAAATCATTACATGTAGTAGTCATTTAAAGAATAAAGAACTGTAAATTATTGGTTAGTTTTATTAGTGATTTTTTTTTTCAACTTGACAAGCTTCACACTTTCACCGTTTCTTATATTTTATTTTGGAAGTTTTAAATATCATGCTTTTGATTTGTTAATTGTGAATTGCAAAGTTCACAAATTGAGTAGCTGCCTTAAAAGCTACATCAAACAAAGTGACAAAACATGAGAAAGTGTGCACGAAAAATCAACACACGTTATTCCCTTTGCATTTGATATTTTTGGTTTCCTTGCGCCAGAAGTTGTGGAGCTATTCAATAGAGTCCAACGGGTCATGCATAGTAATATTATGACTCCAAGATCAATAAATGTTTTTAAAAAAATTAGTTTTGGCATCCAAAAAGGGGTTGTGTCACAACTTGTTGATCGTTTACCCGTTACGTTTATGTAAAACTTTCTTATTTAGTTAATATATAAATCTTTGATTTTTGGAAATTTACAGTATTTTCTTTAATTTTGAAGTAAATTTGAGAAACTAAATAACACATATATTTATTGTTGACTATTTATATTATGAGAAATTGAATATCCTTCTATTTTTGTTCATACAAATCTTCCTATCCAATTAAATGATGACATGTGTCATATTAATACTAAAATATCATTAAATTTAATTAAATGAACATTAAATGTTACACATGTCACTATTTAATTGGGTAAAAAGAATTGTAAGATTTTTTTTTTCTAAAATGAAGTTTTTGAAGTCTTACTTACCATATATATCAACAAAAAACAATTTAATTGATTGGATTTGATGGATATTGATGCCGGAATTTTGGATAAAGTTGTTTAAAAATGCGTAATTAAAAATATGTATCAATGAATGTTAGAAGGATACCAATTTCAAATAGAAGCAAGTTTATTTTGTGTTATAGTCAGTGAATTTTTGTCATAATAGGATATATTATGAGATGAAAAAAACAACACATAAGATATTTTGATTTTAATAAGTTATTAGTTTTAGGGCCCAATATTAATAAATCACATAAGGTCTTAAAATTGTAACGCCCGGCCCACGGTGACATGCTATTTGTTAATAAAAGTAGGGATAATGACTTGAAAAGGTAATGAACTTTCGACTTTGTTCACATTTAGTCACTAAACTTTTTTTCGTTATCTATTTGCCATTGAACAATTGAAACTGGTCATATTTTACCCTTATGACCGGTAACAACCGGTCATAAGGGTAAAATGTGAACAGTTTCAATAGTTCAGTGGCAAATAGATAATGAAAAAAAGTTTAGTGACTAAATGTGAACAAAATCGAAAGTTTGTTTCCCTCTAAAAAATTTCAATGACTAAATGTAAACAAACTTCCTCTTGTATTATGTTTTAGCAAATTATTTATTTTTGTTAAATTGTAGCAACATTTGTTGATGAAGAAATCTATTAAATAAAAAAAAACCAAAACCCCGAAAAATATATTAAAAAAAACGAAAAACCGAAACCGAAATAAAAACCAATGGTTTAGTATTTTCCAAAATAAAAAATCATAATTTTCCAATCTGATTTTGGTTTTAAAAAAGTTCAACTTTTGGATTTCCATATCTAAATCTCTCCCCTTTATATAATCAAAAAATGATTATAAAACCAAAAAGGAAATGAGAAAGCGCTCAATTCGGAATTTTTCTATCCAAAACTCCCCCTTGTGACATGAGAGATAGATAGAGAGAGAGAGAGAGAGAGAGAGAGAGAGAGACATTTAAACACCTCTATATAAGGTGGGTTCATACCACATGTAGATGTGTGATTGAGATATGTAACATTGAGAGTGTTAGTGTGTGTTAATTATGTAGATTTAGATCTAGATCCTTTTTGTAAACACCTTTCATAATCGAATGCATCTCTTAAACACCCAAATCACCGTGTTCTTTAATTCCGCATGTCAAACCAATGGTCATAATTCACATCAGTGAGAATG